TCCTCCTCCTCCTCCTCCTCCTCCTCCTCTCCTCCTCCCCCTCCTCCTCCCCCTGCCCCTCCACCTCCCCCTCCCCCTCCCCCAGCGACTCGGCTCACGCAGCTGGTTTTCCCGGCGCCCACGGGCGCCTCCCGGCGCCGATGTGCCGAGGAAAGCGCCCACAGACCAGCTCCATGCATCTGCTCTCGAACTCCGAACCCTCCCTGTCCTTGGCCCCGCCGTATCGTCCGACCCGAACACGAGGCTCAGGGGACTGGCCCGAGCGACCGCTGACACCTCGCCACGACGTCCGCAAGACAGCCACATGACAGCCGAGAGGGCCACACTGAGAGGCTCCGAGAGGGCTCCAGTGTAAGTGGTGCGGCAACCATGCAACACAATGGCCATGCCAAGCTGAGTCGCTGCGGCGCTGCCTTCCCCAACGCGGTGGCGGGTGCGCGCAGCAGCGCGAGAAATTGGTACGACACAGCACTGCCATCCGCAGGGCCAAGCGAGAACACAGCAGGCAAGAGCAGCCGCATGCCTGCCAACCGGTGCTGCTTCCGCGTCTCCTCCTCCTCCTTCACCGCGATGATGGTTGCCAGCTCCTCACCCCGAAGCCGTGGGAGCGTGGCGGGGCCAGGCCACGCCTTCGGTCGCGTTGCCTCTTCTGGAGATGTGTGACGTTTGCTTCTTGCTCCTCTGGCTCCGCCCCCCCTCCGATCCTCCTCATTTCACTTCATTTGGTCACTGTTCATGGCTCGAGTGGACGCAATTCCTTGCTTCTGCAGCTCAGCCCGCAGCCAATGCAACTGATATCGGTTAGAATAACGTCGTAATGATGAGGAAACCCACAGCCCCACGTACAACAAAGAGTTAACAGGCACTCACTGCAAGTTCGAACGCTAGGACCTCGGTTTCGCAGCTGACGAGCCCGAGGCCACAAATACCTCTCGCTGCCATCATACATGCATTATTATCTTGCACAAGGTGTCTAGAGCTCCGACCACTTCATTCCGCGTCGCACACCCACCTCCCCCTGCCACTTCCCCCGCGTCCCCAGCGCCATAGTGGGACCCCCGCTCCGCGGCCCTCTGCCCGGACCGCTTTCTTCCGCGTCGCACGCCCACCTCCCCACTGCCCCTCCCGCCGCGTCCCCAGCGCCACAGTCGGACCCCCGCTCCGCGGCCCTCAGCCCCGACCACTTTCTTCCGCGTCGCACACCCACCTCCCCCCGCCCCTCCCTCCGCGTCCCCAGCGCCAAAGTGGGACCCCCACCCCGTGGCCCTCTGCCCCGAGCCCCCCCCCCACATTCCCAGCGCCCCAGTGGGAGCCCCGCCCATTGCCCCCTCCGCCACGAACGCTTTATTCCGCGTCGCGACGCACACCACCTCCCCCACCTGCCTCCCCGCGTCCCCAGCACCCCAATGGGAGCTCCGCCCCGTGCCACCTCCGCCCCGATCAGTTTATCCCGCGTCGCGACGCACACAACCTCCCCCCCCCCTCCACCCCACGTCCCCAACGCCCCAGTGGGACCCCCGACCCCCCCCCCCCCGCGTTCCTAGCGCCAGAGTGGGACCCCCGCGCCGTGGCTCTCTGCCCCGAGCCCCCCGCGACCCCAGCGCCCCAGAGGGAGCCCCGCCCACTGTCGCGACGCACACCACCTCCCACACCTCCCTCCCCGCGTCCCCAGCGCCCCAGTGGGAGCCCCGCCCATTGCCCCCTCCGCCCCGAACGCTTTATTTCGCGTTGCGGCGTACACCACCTCCCCCACCTCCCTCCCCGCGTCCCCAGCGCCCCAGCGGGGGCTCCGCCCATTGCCGCCCCCTCCGCCCCGACAATTCGATTCCGCGTCGCGACGCGACCAGCCTCCACCCCCCGCGTCCCCGGCACCCCGGCAGGAGCCCCGCTCAGTCACCCCGGGCCCCTCCGTGCCTCCAGCGCTCCAGTGGGAGCCCCGCCCACAGCCCCATCCGCCACGAACGTTTTCTGCCGCGTCGCGACGCACACCACCGCCCCCAACCCCCCCACGCCCCCAGCGCCCCAGTCGGCCCGAGCGCACCCACTGCCCCCTCCGCCCCGACAATTTTGTTCCGCGTCGCGACGCACACCACCTCCCCCCCCCCGCCGCGTCCCCAGCGCCCCAGTGGAACCCCCGCCCCGTCGCCCTCTGCCCCGAGCCCCCCCGCGTCCGCAGCGCCCCAGAAGGAGCCCCGCCCACTGCCCCCTCCGCCCCGAGCATTCTATTCCGCGTCGCGACGCACACCACCTCCCCCCCTCACCCCGCGTCCTCAGCGCCCCAGTGGGCGCCGCCCCGTGGCCCTCTGCCCAGACTATGTTATTCCGCGTCGCGACGGACACCACCTCCCCCCTTCGCCCCCGCGCCCCCCGCGTCCCCCGTGGGACCCCCGCCCCGTGCCTCTCCGCTCCGAGCACTTTATTCAGCGTCGCGACGCACACCACCTCCCCCCCCTCCCCCACCTGGGATTTGGGCCCCGTTGCTGGGCCCCGAGGGGCGATGTCTTGCCCCCTCTTCCCCTCTCCTCCTCCACCTCATCCTCCTCCCCCTTCCTTGTTGTGCAAGAACCATGGCACACGTGCCACTTGTTTTGACCTTCCCCAAACACGCCATGTGCCCCATGCTGCATATAACTCTTGCGTACCGTACTGGCGCGGACCACCAGAAAAAAACATAACGAAATACATGTTGCCAGTAATCCTGACTTTCGGCACCCATCCAAACGAGCTCTAACAGTCGATGGCAGTTGGCGAGCGCGCCAGCAATCATCTCCTCCTCCTCCCACTCCTTCCTCCAACATCCTCGCGCTTCGTCCCCCTTGCCCTTTCGTTCGAAGGATAGGAAGTAGATAACAATATGTTTTGGAGGTCTGCGCAGACTTCCAACCGTTGAACACGTTGAACCCGAACAGCCCGACCCAAGGAGCACTGGGCATCGCCGTACAGACGGCCCAGCCCCCCCCCATGAAGTGCATGCACTCCGGGCCGCGGCCAGGACGGACTCGGGGACTCCGGCGTGCCCTGTCTGTGACGCCGCGCTGTCGGTGCTGGGTCGTGCTAAGCGAAGCCCCTTCCATGTCAACTACCTGACGCCGGTCCAAAGGACAAAGGAGTATTACAGGGATCCGTCGCCGACAAACTACCCTTCAGCATTCCACGGCCCACAGCTCTGTCGTATGAGGATCGGCCTTCTGAGGCGGAGACTGCACCCGCGCTGCGAGAGGTGGATGGAAGGCCATCGCGGGGTGATGTTCGCATTGTGCACAGAAACTGAGTTCGAGAAAGCCCCAGAGGACATTTCGCGCCCTCTGAGAAGGTCGGGGGCGGCCAATAGGGGGGCGTCCAAGAGGGGAGGGTGCAGATCATGGCCAGCAGCGTGTGCGCGGCCCAGAGGGGGGGGGCCAAGGACGCAACGAAATAAGAAGAGGAGCCATGAAGTCTGAGAAAATATCATGGCCCACGCCTTGACATCCCCCCCCCCTAGTCTGGGGAAACCAAAAGGCTCCGATACCGCTACTCCCCGGACCTCTCCTGGGGTGCATTCTGACTAGAAGTTCGAGGCGAATCCAGCGGTGGCGACGGCCTCCCAGGAGGCCCAAAAAGGGGAACACGAGGGACAGGTAGAGGTATGGGTACCTTTCCCTCCTCTGATAATCATCACCCCCCTCTTGGCCGCCCCCCGAAAAGAGCGCTGCACGCCGCACTGACCAGAATCATCTCTGGCATCTCCAGGCAGAGAGGGCGAAGCCCAGGCGCGTGCCTCTTGGACTGCCCTCGGCCCCGCAGGCGCCTCCTGGCATGGCTGCGGGAACCCTGGCTGGGGGCTCTGCCTCCGCCGGGCCGCAGCCATCTCGCTGGCGTGTGCAAGAGCGCGTTTCTTTGTCTTCGGCGGTAGTGGGCGTTATAGGGGGGAGAGAGGGGGCCGGGGGGGGGATAATGTAACGCCTCCCCCCCGCCGTGTGCCCGATGCGCACGACGGCAGTGCCCGGAGCGCACTGGGGGGGAAGGGGCGTTTCGTTATAGGAGGGGGGAGGGGGGGGGAGGGGGCTGTAATGCCCATTATGCCCCAAGCAATAAAGAAACACGCGCCAAGGTGGATGTAGTCGGGTGAAGAAGCATGAAGTGGCTGCCCGACGTGGCCGAATGTCGGCGAAGAAGAGTCGTTGGGTGCAGAGTTGCTGGTAACGTTCGACGCGAGGACCTCCGAAAAGTGCGATGCACAGCCTGTCCTGAGCGGCAACATTGTGACGCTCAGCCGCTCCGAGTTTTCCAGGGCGGTGGAGGCGTTCGCTGTCTCGCTTGATGGCGGGAAGATGTCGTGGGCACAGCTGTATGATCGCAGACGGGTCCCGATGAACATCGTTCTGCCGAAGTTCAGTGGTTGTATTAGATCGGGCATGTCCTCCTACAGGCGGGATTTCGATAACAAAATAAAAATAGTAAAAAATACCCAACAATAGCCAAACATTGTCAAACAAATCGTCCCCAGACTATTTTTGGACTATATTTGAATATTCCTCCTGTGGAGGGACATGCCCGACTGGATGGTTGTGTCGGGTTGCCGAGCGACCAGAACGCCCTGGAACACATTGACGGCCCGCAGCGTCCTCTGGGCGCTGTGGTCCTGCAGAGGCTTTTGCGAAAGCACCGCGGACCGAGGAGTCGTGCATAGTCTTGACTGCCTACCCAACCACCCCAACCCGACCCAAGACCCGAATTTCGGGTTGGGAGGGGGGGGGGGTACTCAGCGAGCGAAGAACGGTATAAGATAAACTGTCCGCCGTCGGAGACACCTGCCCCTGGGCGGCTGGAAAGTTTATACCCCTACGGTGCCACCGTAAGGGTATAAACTTTCCAGCCGCCCTGGGACAGGCGCCCCCGACAACGAAAAAGTTTATTTTACACCGTTCTTCGCCCGTTAAGGTATGGGCTTCATATGTGTCTTTAAAGGTTCCCCGACCGCACCCCCGCTGGCAACGGAGGGCGAATCGGGGCCTTCGGGTTGGGTCGGGGTGGCTTGTGGTGGGCGGTGATGTCTGCAGCTGCCTCCAGCGGGCGAGGCCGGGGAGGACGCTCTGCGTCAGCCCCGAGTGCTACGAGGGCATGGAGTACGGAGGCCGCCATCGAACGCACACGGGAGCAGGGGACCTGCTTCAAGCAGTGTGGGCGCGGCGAGCGAGGGGGGGAGTGAGAAGAAGAAGGCCTTCTCGGACAAAGGCGTCCCCTCTCAGAAGCCCTCGCGCCTTCCGAGACTGAAGCGGCCCTGGGGCACACAAACAAATTCACGCAAATGACAAGTTTCCCCATATTTTCCTATCTTTTCTGTCTTCCCCCCACTGCCCATATTTTCCCATATTTTCCCGGGAATCGACGATTCATTGTGTCTCTGTGTGTTTTTGCCCCTCCTGAGAGAAGCTCCCTGCATCTCTGGAGAAGGCTCAAAAAACTTCGCCGACGGCCGAGGGGGACTTCCGAGCACTCTGGGGAGGCCCGCCCGCTCTCACATCCCCAGAGCACCGAGGGCGCGAGGGGGTCCCACAGGCCTGGGAACAAATTAGCGAACACTCATGCCACGTTCATCTGTCGACGCCTCCCCCTCCCCCCAACATTCAAAGTTGGCGGTGGGTCTGACGAGATGCACTTCGACCGCAGTTTCCCCCGCGCGTGCCATCGTGGAGTTTGGGGGGGAGGGGGGGTGTTCAGTAACCGGTTCCCTCTACGGGATGGCGAACGCGCGGCCGGCTCAGAGGCCCGCGCGGGGACCGAAACGGAAGGCCCAGGGTTATGTCGGGCGTGTCCCCCTACAGGGGGATCTTCGAATCAAAACAACAAATACTCCAAAAATACACCAAAAAGGCAAGCAAATACTAAAAAAAATAGTCCCCCGACTATTTTTGGAATATTTTTTGATTATTTCGGGTGTATTTTTCATTTTTCTATATTTTGGACGCCCGGAATGGGTACGTAAAAAATGGGTACAATGCCCAACAACAAATGCTGTTCCAAGCCAACAGCGGCCGCTGTTGGGCAGGCGGCCTTCTGTCTCAAATGGGCACAGTCCGCGGCGGCGCAGACAGCGAGTCCTGTTCAAAATGGACAGGTACTGCTATTGAGCATTGTGCCTATTCTTTCCGTGCCCATCTCGTTCGTGCAGAGGCAATGAGGACTGGCAACGTCTGGCGTAAGGTCGTGCAACCAAGCCGAAGGAGCAGGAACACAAACGGCAGTGGAAGGAGTCGCGCCGGGCCCGGATGGCCGAGGCTCTCAGTACAATGGGGGCAGAGGAAGCTACCTGTCATGCGCTGCCGCGCGTAGGATCCGACTTCGGGTAAAGCGTACCTCCGCCGTGCTCGGCGTTTTTCATGGCAGAGTTCGAGAAAACTCGTCGCCAGGATGCAGTCGAACGTGTCGTCAGTATCGCAACCACACCCGAGGGGCATGAGAGGTTGGCAGACCCTTTCAAGCCAGACTTTGGCCCCTTGGCCGGTTATGACTGGGGCGGCTTGGATCCCGAGAGCGGCGTGAAGAGCGCGCCGCAGGGGGGGGGGGTCCAGCGCAAGCTTGAGAGAAACTGTATGCTTAGGTCGGCCATGTCCCCCTACAGGCGGATTTTGGGAGAAAAACTGACAATACTCAAAACATACACCCAAACAGTCAAAAACTACAAAAAATAGTCCCCATACCATTCTTTCTGACTATGTTTGAATAGTCCTCCTGTAGAGGGACGTGCCCGACTTAAATGTATGCTATGAGACTCTTTGCTCTTCGAGCCTCCTCATGTCCCCCCCCCCTTCCTCTGCACTTCTCCTTCCCGTGCCTTACTTCTCCTCGCCGTCCTCGTTTGACTCCTCATATCCCCTCCCTGTTCCACTCTCGCCTTCCTTAGAGGCCCTCTAGATGGGGTCCGAGTAGATGGGTCGGAGGATCGCGCCGCACCGCCGATGCATCACCGATGCATCGACGATGCATCGGCGACGTCGGCGATGCGTCAGCGGCGTCGGCGCGAACAAAATCGGGCTCCGCATCGAGCAGAATCGCAGACGCATCGGCGATGCGGCGCGATCCCCCGACCCAACCTACTCCGACCCGACCTGGGAGGCGTAGCTCCCCGTCGCCCTCGACTGAATCCTCCCTTCGTCCCCCTCCTCCGCTCTGGCCTTCCGCCGCCCGACCGCCGCGCAGATTCGGAATCATCCCGTCCGGGCGCCTCCTGCCCGTGCGCGAACGTGCAGCCCGAGCCGCGGATGCACTGGAGCGCGTGGGCGCGCGGACGGAGGCACGGGCCCGCCACGGAGAGAGCAGGCAGCAGACACGAGGAGGAGGGTCGGCAGGGAGCGGGCCGCCTCGGGCGCGGCCTCTGCGCGCGCTGGGTGACGAGAGTGCGGGCAAGGCTCGTGTCCACATCCACTGACTGCAGCTTGGAGTGTGGGGCTCCCTTCCCCGGAGCCCCGGGGCGCACTGGAGATGGGCAAGAATCTGGCCCCTGCAGAGGCTCGATGTTTGTCCAGATCCAGTGCGCCTCGGCCTTGCGGTGCCCCTTCCAAGAAAGTCCAAGACGCAGAGAACTGCACACACACACACACCGCGGCGGCGTAGGCATGCACTGATTCTCCCTCGAACAATCGCGCACACATGCGCGCGAAGTTACTGGTAAATGAAGATGGTTATCATCATAAGGGGGCGAGGAACACGATGAGGAGACCGAAGAGGAAGAGGAGCCGGAGCCAGATTGGAGAGGAAGAGGACGAGTAAGAAATGAGATCAAATGGGCCCCAGCATGGCCCAAGAGGGCCCCGCGAGGTCCCCCAGGCGGTCCAAGAGAGCCCCAAGATGGCCCCGACAAGCCCCCGAAACGCCCTCCAAGATGGCCCAAGGAGACCTTAACGACCCCATGGCAGCCCCACAGGCCGAAGTGAACTCCCGGACGGCCGAGCCAGCTCGGCCTACACACAAACACACAACGCACAACGCACAACACACACAACACACACACAACACGCACACACAACACACAAACACACACACAACACACACACAACACACACACAACACACACACACAACACACACACAACACACACACACAACACACACACAAACTCACACACACACATGCTGGGAGAACACGCTGCCGAATCGCTTCCTCCCCTGCACCATCGGTTTTCCGAGTGCTTTCCCCGAGAGCTGGGGGAACACGCAGCCCACTGTAGCGTGACCGCATCTTCGCTCGACACTTCTGAACAGATGCAGTTCCGAAGAGCAGGGGGCGGCGGTGACTCGCCACAGGCGTCGTTGATACGGTGCAGCACCAACAACCTGGGGCACCACCCTTTTGTCTCTGTTTATGTTGTTCCCATTGTACTTGCCAACGGGCCAGAGGCGTGCTAAGATCTCCGGCTACTGGCAAACAATATTTCTAGTTCGCGCGCGCGGGGCGGCTGCTGGGGGTAGTGGGGTCCCCGGACGAAAAGTACCCCGAGAGGTCCGACCGAGATGTTTTTTACTTCTGGGCGCGGCTTTCGGGCGCCGCAGAACGTTCCTAGAGAGCCCCAAAGATCCCCAAGACGGTCCAAGAGGGCTCCGAGTCGCCGACCGATCGGTCCAAGACGTCCAAGATAGCCTCCAGACGGCAGCAGACGCCCCCAAAAGAGGCCTCCAAGAGGGCCTCCAGGACGGACCCCAAAACATAAAATCATTGACTTCCCATGAGTTTTCGAAGGACTGTTACATTTGCTTTTTGTCGGCCTTCCGACGGCCCGAGATGGCCCAAGTGCCCAAAAAGATCGCCTAAGTGGCCCAAGACGGTTCCACGAGGCCCCCAATACGGCCCACGAGGCCTCCAAGACGCTCAAGATGGCCTCCAAGACGGCCCTGGAGCCCTCCAAGACGTCCTCCAAGAAGGCCCGAAAGGGTCAAAATGGCCTCCAGACGGCCAAGACGACCTTCAAGATGCCCAGGTGTTCCCCTAAGGTTTTCCAAACCGATTCGGGGAACACATGGTCCGATAGCTTGGCAGGTCTGGCCTCAACGTTCGGCCACATATGCGCTTCCAAAAAGACAGGGGGCGGCGGTGATTCGCCGCAGGCGTCTTCGATCCGCCGCCCCCTGTCGATTCATCGCAGGGGTGCCTGGCGTGCTAGATTATTTCGGTTTTGGTGTTGCTTCTGTTTCCGAAAGAACTCCCCCTGGGGCTTCGGCCCGTCCCGCCACCCGCCGGGGTCCCGGGAAGGACCTCAAAACGCGTCCGTCGATGCCATTGTTGCCCCAAGTTGGCCTCCAAGACGGCCAAGATGGCCTCCAAGTTCGCCCAAGATGGTCCAAGATGGCCTCCAAGACGGCCCAAGAGGGTCCACGATGCCTCCTAGATCGCCCAAGAAGCCTCACAACGGGCCAAGATGGCTCCAAGATGGCCCAAGAGGGTGCCAAAAGGTCCCCTAGGAGGGCCCGATGAGGCTAACATCATTGATTTGCATACGGCTTTTGAAGGTTTTAAACCTTCCCGCTGTCTGAGACGGCCCTCAAGATCGCCCCCAGAGCACCCAAGAGGCCTCCAATGTGGCCGCCCAGGAGGCCTTTAAGACACCCAAGATGGCCTCCAAGACGGCCCTGGAGCATTTCAAGAGAGCCCCAAGTCGGCCCAAAGAGGCCCCCCAAACGGGTTCCGACGGCGTCAGACGGGGCAGGAGCCCACCAAGACGGCCGAAGATGGCCCTAAGATGGCCCAAGAGGCCTCCAAGAGGGCAGGAAGGCCCGAAAAGGACCAAATCATTGATTTCCCATGAGTTTTCGAAGGACTGTTACATTTGCTTTTTTCTGCCTTCCGACGGCCCGAGATGGCCCAAGTGCCTAACAAGATCGCAAAAGTGGCCTAAGACGGCCCCAAGAGGCCCCCAATACGGCCCACGAGGCCTCCAAGACGCTCAAGATGGCCTCCAAGACGGCCCTGGAGTCGTGGAGCCCTCCAAGACGTCCTCCAAGAATGCCCGAAAGGGTCAAAATGGCCTCCAGACGGCCAAGACGACCTTCAAGATGCCCAAGTGTTCCCCGAAGGCTTTCCAAACCGATTCGGGGAACACATGGTCCGATAGCTTGGCAGGTCTGGCCTCAACGTTCGGCCACATATGCGCTTCCAAAAAGACAGGGGGCGGCGGTGATTCGCCGTAGGCGTCTTCGATCCGCCGCCCCCTGTTGGCTTGCCACAAGGGTGCCCGGCGTGCTAGACCCTTTCGGTTTTGGCTTTGGTTCGTTTCCAAAAGAACTCCCCCTGGGGCTTCGGCCCGTCCCGCCGGCCGCCCGGAAGGGCGCGCAACAGGTGGTTGCAAAGAATTTCTCCAGACGGCTCCAAGATGGCCTCCAGGATGGCCAAGATGGCCCAAGATGGCCTCCAAGTTCGCCCAAGATGGTCCAAGATGGCCTCGAAGACGGCCCAAGAGAGTCAATGATGCCTCCAAGTTCGCACAAGAAACACCTAAGACGGCCCAAGACGGCCCCAGAGGACTCGAAGAGGCCTCCAAGACGGCCCACGAGGCCTCGAAGAGGTCCTCCAGGATCCTCAAGGACGGCCCGAAGAGGTCAAAATCATTGTTTTTCCTTCGGTTACAAAAAATTGGCTTCTGCTCCTTTTCGGCCTTCCGACGGCCCAAGACTGCCCAAGAGGCCATGAAGATCGCCCCAAGAGTGCCTAAGAAGCCTCCAAGACGGCCCAAGAGGCCCCCGAGACGACCCCAAGAAGACGCCAAGACGGCCCAAGAGGCCCCCAAGAAGCCCAAGATGGCCTCCAAGACTGCCAAGATGGCCTCCAAGATGCCTCCAAAAAGGCCAAGATGGCCTCCAAGACGGCAAAGATTGCCTCAAGATTCACCCAAGACATGGCCTCAAAATGGCCTAAGACTGCCCAAAAGACCCGCCAGAGGCCTCCCAGACTGCCCAAGAGCCCTCCGAGACGTACCTCAGGAAGGCCCGACAGGGTTGAAGGATTTTGGCTTTTGCTCCTTTTCAGCTCTCCGACGGCCCAAGGCGGCCCAAGCGGCCCCTAACATCGACCCAAGAGCGCCCAAGAGGCCTCGAAGATGGCCCCATGACAGCCCAAGAGGCCCCCAAGAGGGCCCCAAGAAGGCCTTCAAGACGACCCAAGAGGCCCCCAAGACGCCCAAGATAGCCTCCAAGACGGCTAAGATGGCCTCCAAGATGCCTCCAAGACGGCCAAGAAGGCCTCCAAGACGGCTAAGTGCTCGATTATGCACCCAAAACGGCCCAAGATGGCCTAAGGCGGCCCGATAGGCCCGCAAGAGACTTCCTCCGGCGTTTGAAGGATTTGGGCATTTTCTCCATTTCAGCTCTCCGACAGCCCAAGACGGCCCAAGAGGCCCCCAGCATCGTCCCAAGAGCGCCCAAGAGGCCTCCAGGATGTCCCCATGACAGTCCCAGAGGCCCCCAAGAGGGCCCCAACAAGACGCCAAGACGGCCCAAGGTGGCCCCAAGACGCCCAAACTGGCATCCAAGACGGCCAAGATGGCCTCCAAGATGCCTCCAAGACGGCCAAGAAGGCCTCCAAGACGGCGAATATGGCCCCAAGATGCACCCAAGACGGCCCAAGAGGGCCTCAAGACGGCCTTAGACTGCCCAAAAGGCCCGCCAGAGGCCTCCAAGATGGCCCAACCTTCAAGACGTCCTCCAGGAGGCCCGAAAGCTCGGAAAACACCTGGTCCGATAGCTCGCACGACTCCGTGTTCCCCGATGGCTTCCGAAACCCACTCGGGGAAAGCGTGACCCGATAGCTTGGCCAAGCTCAAACCCAACTTTCGGCCACGCAGGCGCTTCCAAAGAGGCAGGGGGCGGCGGTGATTCGCCGTAAGCGTCTTCGATATGGAGGTACGTTGTTTTCTGGCCGGAAAGGGGGTACTATACATTCATTCATATGTATACATATACACATACATACAGCGACAACGCGATAGACATATTCAACACCGACAGATGGGAACCGCGCGATAGAGAGAGAGGGAGAGAGAAAGACACAGAGAGAGAGAGAGAGAGACAGAGAGAGGGATAGAGAGAGAGGGATAGAGAGAGAGAGAGCGAGCAAAAACATCTGATCCTCCTCACTTCACCTGCTCAGCATGACGCCTCCTCCACCTTACTTATTCCTCATCGTTCCTCCTCGACCTCCTTCGCGCACCAGCAAACAATAGAGGAAACGGGGACACTGAAGCAATATAATCTGCTTTGAAACAACGAGACTACATCATGACCCCGCACACTGGGAGAGCATGAGAACCCTTATGCAAGCAACCGATCTCCCGTATCACAAAACAGCACTCACTCCCTGCAACAAGAAACTTCAAGATGTCTGACGGCATGCAGCAGACGTACCCATTGGGCAAGAAGCCGTACTAACGAAGTCACTACAACATTTATGTGGCTCCCATCGTACTTAAGGACCACATCCCAGAAATAATTTCGAGCACCCAGAAAAGTGTCGAAAGAGTGTCGAAAGAGTGTCGA